GTACCTTGAAATTGGTCAAACAATGATCTGATGTGTATCATTTGGGTTTTACAATTGAAGGTCAGCAATTCTCCCAGAACTGGGATGACTGAAGGTTGGCATCTGTATCTTTTGAACTTGGTTCCTAATATTCTTTTACAAACAAGCTGTTTGTCTACAAGCTACATATTAGTCAGAGTCAGCATTTACAAAAATAATATCAAAAGAATGGTGGGGTGGGTTACAATTCCCCACTATCACAATTCCCCACTGTCAGTTTTTTCTCCATTTCCGTGGAACTTAGAGGGTTGTAGCCAAAACATTTAAGAAAACTAGAAAAATAGAGGATTCAGTTCTAGTTTATAGATGAAAAGTAAAACTTTATAGACAATTTACTGAACCAGAATCTAATTTCCATAATTGTGTATAATTGATTTTATTGAAATACAAATTTTCCTCTAAAATCACCCTTATTTTTATTAAAGAGTCAAATGCAGACCAATTCATTTACTATATTAAGTCCAGTTTCCCTTTGGCCTGATTCTTTGCATAAATACAACAGCAATAGCTATTGATTATATAGCTGTTCTTAAAACTGCTTTACTGGAATATTATAAGGATTTTCAGATTGAACTTTAATTAGCCTCTTGGGGCAAAACAGCCAAGGCATACAGTTGCCATCAGGCTTTGCCTGCAATACCTATAATTCATCAAGTTCTCAAGGTCCACAAAATGTCTTGAGATTCTTCCTGTACCATCTTGCAGGAAAGCAACATTTGCTCCTTACCTGGAAAGGCTGTCATGAACCATAAGAATAAGTAAGGTACCAGGCCATTTATTCAAGGGGATTTTATCAGATTTAAGGTCAATCTTCATTCCTTAAAGCCTTTTGCTGACATCAGAGACTTAGACATATCTCTCTCAAACATGACAGTTCAAAGTTTTGGTTAATAAAACCACAATTGGAAACTGGCTTCAAGTGTCCTGTTATGAAGAAATTTAGATTTCTATGGGTTCATGTAAATAAACATATTGTCATGAAAATAATAATACTCGCTCATTAAGGGTTTTTAAATTCTGGAAGGATTAAGTAGTGAGAAAAATATAAATGCTTCAATATTGTCATAACTTACCAAATTGTTCTAAGAAAACAAACAAGTTTTTAAAAAATCAGCAATATATTGAAGTCATAAGAATAATAATTAGCCCTGGCTGGTGTGACTCAGTGGATTGAGTGCCAGCCTGCAAACCAAAGAGTTGCTGGTTTGATTCCGAGTCAGGGCACATGACTGGGTTGTGGACCAGGTTCCCAGTAGGGGGTGTGTGAGAGGCAACCACACACTGATGTTTCCCTCTTTTTCTCTCTCTTCCCCTCTCTCTAGAAATAAATAAATAAAATCTTTAAAAAAAATTTTTTTTCAGTCCTCACCTGAAAACATTTTTTTCATTGCTTTTAGAGAGAGAGGAAGGAAGAGAGAGAAAGATAGATGTGTAACAGAAAAATCAGTTTGTTGCCTACCATTTGTGACCAGGGATCAAACCTGCGCCCAGGTATGTACCCTGACCAGGGATCAGCCTGTGATCCTTTGGTTATGGGACAATGCTCCAACCAACTGAGCTATGCCAGCCAGGGCTGAAGCCATCTCTTGATGAAAAAGATGAACATTCTCTCAAAGTATCAGAGAATGTAAAAGCTGGTATAGAATTGGTGAGAAAGCCTAGAATAAGAAGGAAATCTGTCAAGGTAATTTAGGCATTTGAGACCACTTTTTTTCCTGAGGGTAATTTGCCAGTTCCTTAAGGTAAAAGCCCAAGAAGCTAATAGTTGGAACACAGAACCTGCCGAAGGTGGGGTGGGATGATTTTGATTTAAAACAAAACAAAAAACCTGGCCCCAGCTGGTGTGGCTCAGTGGATTGAGTGCTGGCCTGTGAACCAAATGGTCGCTGGTTTGATTCCCAGCCAGGGCACACGCCTGGGTTGCAGGCCAGGTCCCCAGTAGGGGGTGTGTGAGAGGCAACCACACATTGATGTTTCTCTCTCTCTCTTTCTCTCTCCCTTCCCCTCTCTCTAAGAAATAAATAAAGTCTTTTTAAAAAATACCTGGGTTTTGTGTGTGGGACTCCAAAGTTCTGCCCCCCAGGAAGAAGGGTGAATGGAAAGTAGATCTAAGCTGGCAGGTTTAAGCCCAGGCCCAAGTCAGCTCAATCCCCTGTCCTGTATTGCTCATAAACCTGGCAAAAAATGAATAAAAACCTCTATAGAAATCCTAAGCATCAAATTATTCTTTTAAAATCTTCAACTTTTTATTTTGAAATAATTATGGATTCACACAAAGTTGCAAAGTTGGTTTCTTCACCCAATTCCCATCAATGGTTATTTTGTCTATAATTATAGTACAATGACAAAGGCAGGAAATTACATTGATGCAATGAGTATAGGTAATTGTATGTTATATTATTACATGTGTAGATTTGTGTAACTCTGTTGAATATCACATTATCACAGATTTGTGTGTTTGCCGCCACAATCAAGACAGAGAACTATTCTGGAGTGGGTGGGCTGGGTGGAGAAATGCAAAGGGGAAAGAACTGGGACAACTGTAGTGTAATAGAATGACAATAAAAAAGGACACAGAACTATTCCATTACTGCAGACCTCCCTCTTTGTACCTCTCTATAGTCACACCCTTTGCCCCTCCCTCAATGATCTCCCACGCCTACGAACCCCTAATCTGTTTTCCGTCTCCTTATAATTTCGTCATTTTGAGAATGTTATACAATTGGAATCATACAGTAGGTTGGCTTTTTTTCACTCAGAATAAAGATCTCAGGATGTGTCCAAGCTGCTGCTTGCACCAGAGCCCATTCCCTTTTATTGCTGAGTGGTTTCCATGGTATGGAGGTTCCAGAGTTTGTTTAGCTATTTACCTGCCAACCTAAAAGAACTGTTGGGCTGTGTCCAGTTCTTTTTTTTCTCTTTGTTATTTTGAATAAAACTTCTATTAACATTCACATACAGGTTTTTCTCTATGTTTGTCTGTGCATCTAAGTTTTCAGTTCTCTGGGGTAAATGTCCAGGAACGAAGTGGTTGGGGAGTATGGTAAGTATGTGTAGTTTTTTAAGGAACCACCAGACCACTTTCCCAATAAGAATGTGTGGGAGTTCCAGTTTCTCTGCATCCTAGCCAGCTTTTGACATTGTCACTATTTTTTTTCCTTTAAAATAGGATGTTCTGTTATGACAAAAGCTCCTGCGCGAAGGAGCACTATTACTAATGTGTGGGTGGGAGTGACACTCTGGAGTATAAGATAATGCAGGGAGGACAGGAGCAGATGGCAGCCATCTGAGGGACAGATGAGCCACAGCCAGGGGCCCGGTACATGGATGTGCAGAGGGAATGGGTGTGCCTGGGTGGGCACAAAGCCCAGAGCATGCAGGGTCCATGCCCAGAGGTTCATGGGAATGTGACCAACAGGCTACGGCTGCACAATCAGCAAAAGACTGTGCATTCCAGGCTTGTGGCTGGTGCAGCGCATGACCAGCTGTCCTCATATGACTGACTGTGCAGCTACTACAAACAGCAGGAGACCCCCTTGCTCCTGCAGTCGCCCTCCAGCACCCTTTGCCGAGAAAGCTTGATGTTGTGTTTACTGCAAAGAAGAAATGCTCAAAGGAATTTCTTTCATTATCACAGAGTACGTATTGAAGGGTGTATTTGGAGCTGAAAGGCAATTAACTGGTAACTTAACACTGACCTTAGATTTAACTTCAATCATTGTCACTCCTGAAGTCCCAGTTATCGGTCAGTACTTCAGTAAACATTGGGTTACACTGGAAGACATACCGGATAGGGTTTAGCTAGCCAAGGGCTGGCCCATACAGCATGGTAGGCAGAGACACAAGAAGGCCATCCAGTGAGAGGACAACTGGCTCGCCTATTGGGTCATTTGCATAATTACTCATGCAAGGCGCTACACTGTAACAACCACCCAGGGACAGGCCAAGCCCACTGCCTTCCATCTCCTCTGTACTAGTCAGAATAGCCTAGGCATGATAGTAACAAATAAACTGCCAAAAATCTCATTAGTGTCACACAATAAATGTTTATTTCTTACTAAAAAAGTCCAACACAGGTCAGATAGCTGCTTTCCATTAATCCACTCTAGAACAAACAGCTTCCAAGGTCACCGTGACAGGAAGGAGAAGCCTAGAGGACTTCAGGTGTTTGTAAGGTAGGGGCCTGGAAGTAGCTTATATCACTTTTGCTCACACCTCATTGGTTGGAACTCAATCGCATGTACCCGCTCTTAACTGCAAGGATTTCTGGGAAATGTAGTCTTTCCACTTTCCCAGGAAATGGAACTAGAGTGATGAACACACAGAACTGTGTCTGTCACACCCCTAAATTATCACTTCTACGGAGCTTCTCTCCTGTGAAGAGAAGCAAATAGGTCTGAAAACCTGAATATAGACTAATATTCTTACCACACTAATAGCATAGTATTCATTCCTGAGCACTACTTTAAATGTTCTTTATAGAGAGTATCTTTCTAGTGGGGGTGCTCTGAAAGAGAAGACTAAAAAACAACAAGTCAAGATTTTGATTGGACTGAAGTCCTTACTGTACTCATCTCAATTAGAATTTCCTTCCTGGGCACATCTGTTAATAGAAATTTGACCTCTAATTATTGCCATTGTTACAACCCACCCATTTACCAAGAATCACTTATATTAAGGCGGGGGGTGGAAATTAGGGATATCTGTAATAGTGTCAACAATAAAAAAAAAAAAAAGAATCACTTACTTTGCCACTGCAGCATCCAACAATGGATGAAAGCTCCTGAGAAGTCCTTGAGATCCACGGAGGTTTCCTGGAATGTCCTTCAGAACCACCTGTGCTGGTGCTATAGGCAGACATCACCCGTGGCAGCCCCTGTCCATTGCTCCCCCAGCCCTCCAAGGGCTGAGTAAGCCTCTGTCATCAGGAATACATAATGTGGCTTCTGTTTTTCTGTCCTCTAGTGCAGTCTTGGATGAGTAAGAAGGTCTGAGCTATAACTAAAACCTGTGCCATGCTCCTGCCATGTGTTTTGCTCCTCACTTGCATGCACTCTCAGATGAGCGAGAAGATGGGAGTCACGACCGAAGCCCCTACCGCATTCTTTACACTTACAGGCCCTCTCTCCTGTGTGGACTCTGAGATGAACATGAAGATCTGAATTCTGACTGAAGTCCTTACCACACTGATCACAGGTATATGGTTTCTCTCTGTTACGATCTCTTTGATGGAGGTGAAAATACGAGCTGTAACTGAAGCCCTTACCACACACTTTGCATTGATAGTTTTTCTCTTGTGTGAACTCTCTGGTGAGTGTGAAGAATGGAACTGTATGCAAATGCCTTTCTGCTCACATTGCATTTGTAGGGTTTCTCCCCAGTGTGAACTCTCTCCGGTGGGTGTGAAGGTGTGTGCTTTGGCTGAAGCTCTTTCTACACTCACCATTACCTCTATACGGCTCCTCCCCTGTGAGCACCCTCGGGGGACTTGAAGAAGGGAACTTGAACCAAAGCATTTGCCACACCCACTTCATTTGTAGGGTTTCTCTCCAGTGTGAACTCTCTGGTAGACAAGAAGATTGGAGCTGTGATCAAAGCCCCTCCCACACCCTTCACACTTACAGGACTTTTCCCCTGTGTGAATTCCCTGATGAATACAAGCAAGTAACCTGAACACAAACCCCGTCCCACACACATCGCATTTGTAGGGCATCTCCCTGGGAGGGCTCCATGATGGTTGTGGGGAGAGGAGCTACGCCGGAAGCCCTCGCCACGTTCCCGACATTCACAGGGCTTGTGTCCGGAGGGGGTCTTTCTGATGTTCGGAAGGGTTAGGGCTCTGTTTGCAGCCCTCAGCCCACTCCTGACATTCATAACTTCTCTCACCTGAGGGGGTTTTATAATGAACAATAAGATCTGAGTTCTGACTAAAGTCCTTCTCCCATGGGTCACATTTATAGGATTTTTCTGCAACATGAGCACTGTGACAGATGTGGCGATTTGCATCATCTGTGATGCCCATTCCATAGTTATTACATTTGCCTGGTTTGGGTACTGCACGAACCACGTTAAATTGTTTGACTGTTGATTTCATAACCAAGTTCTTCCCATGGTTGGTGTATCTACCAATTCCTCTCCTTTATGTTCTTGGGGATCATCACAGTCATGTGAAGTTTGACTGAAGCTGTCACCACACTGAGCACATCCACGCAGTTTCTCCTCTGTATGACTCTCATACATTTTCCCTGAGAATTCTGGGACTCGACCACTATGTGGGCTCTACTCCAAGACTCTGGGGTCGGGATCTCTGTCAGGACTTTCCAAGCTACGCCATCCTGATTTTCTAAATTAATAGCATCAATTACATAGTTTTCATTTTCAGAACTCTGAAGAGACAATCCTGCCCGCCCTTCAGAGAGGGAAACATGTCCTTCTAAACACGGCAGACAGCCACCTTGAAGATTCATGGCATACTCCTGACTCCCAGTTAATTCACTGATCCTTTGTTTCCAAACCTGCCAACCATTGAGCACTTCCTGGGAGAGGCAACTCAACACTTTTTCCTGAAGATTCGCAATGTTGTTTTTAATCCTGTCTCCTATGAGGAAAAAGAGAATTTGACTAAGCAGACAAGTAAATCATCTATCCAGAGGCTTTTTTTTTTCATGGCTTTTGAAAGAGAGAGAGACATCGATGTGATAGAGGAACATTGATTGGTTGCCTCCATCCATACCGGGAATCATAAGCACCTGGACCGCAACCTAGGTATGTACCCTGATGGGGAACTGAACTCACGACCCTCCTGTTACAGGATGATACTCCAACCAACTGAGCCAGCCAAGGCTATCCAGAAGTTTTGAGAAAACTGGCTTCCATTCATATGTGAAACAATAAGAACCACAGTGATTCTATCTGTGAGCTTCCAATTAAAAATCAGGTATTGCAGGGAAATCAAAAGAAATCTTGGGGAAAATTTATAAAGGGAGAAATTCACCTTTCTGCTGTAAGACTTGTCAATAAAAAGCCTTTAATTATTTTTTTATAAAAGGTCTGGGAAAGGCTCCCATATGACGAGTGCTGGACAAGGTGAGAGACACAAAGGATCTCAAGGACCTTTTACGTGCTGTACAAGGTTACAGGAACAGACAACTTACTAGATACCTGATCCTGGTTTGGTTCTTTTAACACCAATTTGTCCAAAACACTGGTGTTTCTCCAGAAGCACCCAAGGGACCCGGGCCCTTGGTAGTGTGTGCACGTTATCAGGCTCACCAAGGAGAAGCAGAAGGAAAGAAGGAGAGCCTCGCATGGGAGGAGGTGCAGGTAGGCATGGGAGGCCCACAGGCCCGGCGGGTGGGGTGCAGGGTGGAGGGCAGCTCCCTCAGCAACATCTCCCAGGTCCACTGGCTCACACTTATCTGTTAAAACTCATGAACCCCAGGGTTCTCATCGTTGTTTACATCTCTTAGGAGTTTTCTTTCCAGTGGCCAAAACTTCCCTTTGAGCTCAACGGGCACGTTTTATCCGGTTGAAGTTGATCCTTTGAGGAAACAGAACCAGTAGTTCGAATTTCAGTCACAGGGGGTCGCTGTCCTCACCCACTGAGACCAGGTTGGGGAAGTTCTCGAGCATCACGCGGTCTCGGCAGGATTATCTGGGCCTTATCCAGCAGCCCCAGCTCCTCCTCAATGAAGACCACGGCCACGTCCTTGAAGGTCACGGTTTCCTAAAACATGAAGCACACGCCACATCATCTATTATCCATATAAATGACCGCAGGAAGAAGAGCAAAGTTGAAAGCTGTGCCAGTCAGTATGCTTTTGTCCTCGTGCTCCAAACCTTCATTTCTAAACCTGCTGTTGTAGTGCTGGAGCTGGGGTGCTGCAAGTCACACTTTCCCGGTAACAACTGGCTTTGCGATAGGCTTGGCCGCAGGGTGGGGGCGTTAGAGGGATCTGCAAGGCTAGGGCAGGAAACAGAGCTGGTGCCAGCGAGCCAGGAAAACCAATAGCCTAGAGCCCACGTGGCACAAACACTGTAGTGGTGAGGGGTTAGGGGTAGAGGCTCACTCAGCTTCCTCCCTTTCTCACTTCTTGGCCTCAGCCTAGAGTCTGGGAAAACAAAACACCCATTTCGCTACCACCCTTGCAGCTAGGTGTCCCTTGTAGGGATACTGTGCAGAAACTGCTATAGGATTCAGGTACAAGGACAGTCCAAAAATATTAATAAACCAAATTTATAAGCCAATAGACATGAATGCAAAAATTTTAAAATCTTTTCCTTAGTACAGAAGACCATTTATGAAGTATTGTTGTAACAGCTTGAACCTGAAACAAATCATCTAGTGCTTCCACTTACAGGAAATATTATGGAAAGGAATTCAGTGAATGACGCCAAGAAAGAAGCGCCTTTGAGATAATCATGGAAATTTGACAGTTGTTTGGGTATTCAATGATACGAAAGAATATGGACAATTTCATTAGTTCATTTTTTTAAGTCCTCACCCAAGGATATGTTTATTGATTTGAGAGGGAAAGGAGCTGGGGCGGGGGGGGAAGAGAGACATCGATGTGAGAGAGAAACATCAATTGGTTGCCTCCTGTACATGTCCCGACCAGGATCGAAACCACAACCTAGGTATGTGCTCTGACTGGGAACTGAGCGTGCAACCTTTTGCTTTATGGGATGATGCTCCAATCAACTGAGTCACCCAGCCAGGGCAGTTCATTCTGTTTTTAGTAATACATACTGGACTATATGGGAGCATGTGATAAATTAGATTGTCATTTAGAAATATTCTCTCATGCTCCTTAATTTCACAGAAGGGCCAGAGTGAATTTCCACACCCCTTGACTTTGGGTTTGGCCACAGGACTGGTTCCAGTAGCAAGCACAGGCCCTCAGGGGTCTTGCATGTTGCTGCCCGCTCTGGTGCCCCTCTGCCTGCACTGGAAGACCACACCAGAGCTAACCAACACGAAACCGCTACCGCAAGCAGAGTGCTACCTGTGGCGCTGCTGGGGGCCAGGCTGTAATAACTGAGGAAACTATGCCAGGAGGCTGGAGGAACGGTGACCTGGGGGATGGGGCTAGAAAACGCTCTGTAAAAGTGTTGCTGGCAGTAACTTAGGAGATGGAAGGCACACCTAACGAATTTGTGGACTTGGGCAACATGGTTTCCAGGCAGAAGGATGAAAACGTGAGCTTGTTTATTTTACCTGCATACAGTGAGGAACTATAATAAAGTGATAAGCTCAGAGAAAACAATACAGTATAAAATAGCATGCTATATGCATTATTCTTTTTTTTAAGATTTTATTTTTTTAGAGAGGGGTAAGGAAGGGAGAAAGAGGGGGAGAGAAACATCAATGTGTGGTTGACTCTCAAGCACCCGCCTACTGGACCTGGCCCACAACCCAGGCCTGTGCCCAGACCGGGAATCAAACTGGCAACCTCTTGATTTGCACACTGGCGCTCAACCCACTGAGCCACACCTGCCAGGGCACTATGTACATTATTTTGAAAATCCTTCCCAAATGCTTCAGAAAAGAAAAGTAAAAAAGAGACCAAAAAATGTTAATTGTTGAAATTGCATAATGGGTATTATATGCAGAGAGTCACAGTGCTATGCATCTTTTTCCTTTTTGTGTATTTTCATAATGAAATTTTTTTTCATAATTTAATAAAATCCTTGCTCCACCCTGTGATGATGTTTTTGATGTACCAACTTGGCTAAGCTATAGGCCTGTTACTGAATCAAACAAAAATCTAGGTGTTCCTGGGAAGGCATTTTGTAGGCGTGATAAAAGTCTATCATCAGTTGAGTTTAAGGAAGGGCACTCTAGATAATCTGGGTGAGCCTGCTCCAGTCAGTCGAAAGGCATGAATAATAAAACTAAGGCCCCCTGGGAGATAGGGAACGCGCGCGGGTAGACAGCCGCTTCACAGGGTCCAGGAGTTCCCGCCTGTCCTCCTTCGTAATGGGCTGCGCTATGAACTTCCAACCTGTGTAGCCCACACAATCACGTCAGCCAGTTCCCTTATAATAAATCTCTTAAGATCTTTCTCCTACTGGTTCTGTTTCGCTGGCTCAATGCTCACTGGTACATATCCATTCCAATCTTGCTCGTAGACCAGGGCTACTCAGAGAATGGTCGTGTCATGCTGACCATGTGTCCAAATGCTGTGGCAACACCAAACTGCTATAAAAATTTCTGTACTATCTTACTCTTGGGTTCTCTCTTATCTCTCATGGACCAGGGACAAGCTTCTCTCTCATGGACCAGGGACAAGCAGTTCATGGAGTGGCAGTGGCATACAGACTGTACTTGGAGTAGCACTGAGTTAGACATCGTGACAACTGGACATCTGAGCCTGTTTCTTCGTTTCTACAGAAGGACGAATACCACCTACCTTACACAGCTGTTACAAGCCAAGGTAAAGTGCCTAACGCAAGTTGTCCCTCAGGCACTGCTGGCCTCCTTTCAGAAAAGAGAGGTCTCCAGGGCCTCAGACTGGGCATGGTATTCCAGAGGAAGAAAGGAAACATTAACCCACCTGCAACTTAATCATACCATCCTCCTCTTGGAAGGGCCAGATCCCGAGACAGCAGAACGGCAGAGAGGAATAATGCATGAGGCCGAGGGTTCAACAAGCTGTGAATGAATGCTTGTTCCTTCTTATCTGTACAGTTCTCCTCACATGTTTTTCTCTCCTAATATACTTTTTCCTCCCTCGTCAGTCTTTTTTAAAAATTTATTTTATCTTATTTTTTGATTTAGAGAGAGGAGAAGGGAGGGAGAAAGAGAGGGAAACATTGATGTGAAAGAGAAACATCAATCAGCTGCTTCTCATCTGCTCCCCATGCAGGGACTGAACCCGCAAGCCAGGCATGTACCCCCAACCAGGAATTGAACCGATGACCTTTTGATTTGCAGGATGATGCCCATCCACTGAGCCACACTAGCTGGGGCTCTTTTCTTGGTCTTAATACACTGAACTCCCATCTCCTCGGGCCTCCTCCCACCCCTATCCCAGACCTTTGTGTAATGCCTCTCTCCTCCCAAATTTTTGGTCAAAACTGCCGCATTGTTTTCCTTTCACTATTTTTGTGTATGTACCTACATCCTAGTTACTCAAATTCCAGAACTGCTGATTTGGAGGGTGCTCTCAGGATGACAGGGGGCTTCTTCTGCTTGCACTTTCACACACAAGACCTGTTCCTGTGTAACTAGGACCTGTGACCTGGGGAACTCTCAATTAGTGCCCTCCCAGGCACTGCTTGTAGGGGTGGGTTCCACGGACGGGGAAAAGCCAGCAGGCAGGCAGGTGTTTATTCCCCAGCCCTTTCCCTGGGAGTTCCTTTGGGCTGGCTATGTGGTGCTGCTAGTACTGGCTCTGGGATTCCGTAACACCCTGTGGTGAGGACCTTTGTAAATTGCCCCCTTAGTAAGCTCTGCTCCAGTTACCCAGTTAGAAGGTGCTGTTTGCTCCCTGCTGGGATTCCGTCTGGTAAGTCTTATAAACCCAGTGGCCTCTATCCTTTGAGGAGAAACTTACTGGATAAAATTGCTGCTGTAGGCACTGTGGGAGCCCCAAAGATGAAAAGATAAAAACCCAAAGCCACTCTCTGTCCTCTTGGACTGTGCTTCAAACTACCTGTGGGGAAGGATCAGTTTCACATCGTTATCCCTGTTACTTTCAACCTGTCACAGACTAATATTTTGGTAAAATACAGTAATAAAGAAATTCTAGAAAAAAAATAAAAAGGCATACAAATTACAAGCCTAATTTTGTATTGTTAGTCAATCATACAGTTACTAAAATTGTTATACAAATTTTTATTTTTTAAATATTGTATTTATTTTTAGAGAAAGGGGAAGGGAGCGAGAAAGAGAGGGAAAGAAACGTCAATGTGAGAGAGAAACACCGGTCAGCTGCCTCTCGCACACGCCCCAGCTGGGGACCAGGCCCACAACCCACGTGCCCTGACTAGGGATCCGACCGGCAACCTTTCACGTTGAGGGACGATGCTCAGCCAACTGAGCCATGCTGGTCAGGGCGCTATACAAATTTTTAAACATTTACACTCAAGTTCTGAAATTATCTGGTCATAGACCAAAACACCGAGTTCCCCAACTGTCACCAGTTCACCGGCCACTCTTTGAGTTGCATGACGAGGTTATAGATTCAGATTAATAGGATATGAAACGTCTTTGACAAATTCTTAGATTCCTTTGCCCCCTTTTGCTGCCTTTAAGAAAGAGCATAAATCACCCACATTCTGGGCTCCACAAAGATTCGTTCAACTCCTTAGTGCAGCACTGACCACACAGCTTCACAACTAAAAACAGCCAAAAACATTCCTCCCTAACCCTGTCAGAGCTACTGGAAATCCTGTAGAAATAGCCAAGCCTTGGTGTTTTATCTGCCTGCCAGTAAAGAGCCTGCCATTTATCAAGCACTTGATCAATGGTCCTTGACATTAACAGATGCAGAGACAGAATCAGCTCTAACACATGAGGTGCATGCGCAAAGACACGAGCGCACTAGGCTCTCCTCTTCCAGAACCTGTTCCTTCCTGGGAGCGACCAACGGGACAGGCTGAATCACACACACGTGTACACCCTGCACCCACTTAGTCGGGGCTGGTTTCCTAGATTTCTGGTTTCAGGCTCCCCCGGCCTTTATCAAGTCAGGGCTCTGGCAGGAACCAGGCAGCGTATTCAAATTTGAGGGGAGGTTAATAAACAGCACTCACAATGATGTAGCCTGGGCGGAAGGAAACCACGGGGAAGAGACAGGGAGGTGCCTGGGCCTCCCTGTGATTACACCTGGGCCTGAACGGGCGAGGGGAGGAAACAAGCACTGGCGCCCGGAACGGAGCCGGCTGCGTGGAAGGGCCGCCTGACAGGAACTGTAACTTTTTGTTGAGAGGTACAGCCAACCTGTTGAGGAAGGAGGGTAAGAAGCTAGGAAAACTCTTGAGCAAAGGGAACAGGAAAACTGAAACAAGACAATTAAACAAGACCAAATAATTTGAACGACTTAGAGCCAGTTAGTGAATCATAAGAACTTATCTTCCCTGACCAAGGACACTTGAGAGCAAATAGTTTATACTTCTCCTCCCTAACCAGAGAGTAAAGAGCTTAAATCAACCGGTCAGGGAGACAGACAGCAGAGACCCAATTAATGCCATTTGTGTCAGATGAAGTCAGGGGAACAAATAACAAAAACCTGATTAGAGCCAGACAGACCCAAGATAAAAATAACACAGTAAAGCAGACGAAAGAATAATCCCAAACTCCTCTGTGCACTCATTTTGACGCTTCAGCATATTAAAAATGCCCTAAGATTCTTGTCCCAGGAGGGAGATAAACCCCTTAAGGCAAAGGACACCAGGGAGAGCTCACTCTATAGCACGCCCGTGCCCCTCCTTGGGCATGAACTTCTCACTTCCTTCTAAACTGTAAGGGTTCCCACAAGACTTGCAACGGGGGAGCACAGGGCAGCAGCATCTTGTCCCGGGCTTAGCCCCTGCCCCTGTCTCCAAGGACCCCTTTTCTCTGACTTCCCAGTGAGCTAACAGCAGTCCCACTTTGGCTCACTCCTTTCCTATAACGATTCTAGGGAGCTGGAGCAGAGCACCACCTCGGCTCTCCTGTTGCGTCTTCTACCCTAAGCCCTTCCTTGTCTCATTGTCCTCAGCTTTAATAAACAAAAGTACTCTCAAAATCACCTGGACTCGTGTTGTGAAATCTTTTCTGCATGACGTCAGGAACCCACACGCTACAGGCGGGCCCGAGGCAGACCCCTTTGGCCCAGTCCCCATCTGGTGACACTGTAACAACTCTGCACAGAGAAGATTGGAGGACTACAGATTCCAAGTCACTCTTCTCTCTCTTTCCAAACTCTCCTGTTGTGACTTCTCATTGGCCAAAGACAACCAGGTCGGAGAGCAATGGTGGGCTCTCAGGACAAATAGGAAGATGGGAGAGCAGATCCGGGGGAGGGGAACCAAAAAAATGCGTGTGACACCTCAGAACGCATTTTCCCTCTCACCTGCTGAAGCCCACACAGCTCTTGCCTACAAATGCCTCTCCCATTCACACTGTCTGATCATCGCTCTGATCTGAGTCACTGTAGCAGCGACCATATCAACCTTTTGAGGGAAGAGGACCTAGAGGGAAAAGTTGCATCTGAATTTGAAGCTGAAATTGCTCAGAAATATAAGCCCCATGTCTTCCCCAAACCCTGTTTCCAGATTCCTGGCTTCTTTCTTCCCCCAGAACTTCCAGGGGCTGCAGAACGGAGGAGGGGGACTGACCTGAACTGGGCACGTCTCCCAGGATGTGCCTGGGGATGCATTCTCGGCAGCAGGATAAAGATCATTGTGTGTGTGTGTGTGAGGGTGAATGTCACGCGATTGTGACAAAGTTGTACATCTGTGATCCACGAGTGTCTGAGCCAGAGGATGCTACAAGGGCAACTCCAGCCCTAAGGGCCTGTGGCAGAACTGCTGATGGGGCTGTCCCTCGTCCACATGATGCCTTTGGACAGTTGAGAAAAATATATCGCTTCTTCCAGATACTTTTCTTTTACCTGTTGGTAAATATACTGATTTTGTTAGAACAAGGCACTTTCACTGCTACCTGCTGAAAAATTGTGTATGTGCATCTTATAATGCAAATGGCACATTTTTGACGTGGTCCCCTTGCACAGGACTCAGCCCTGCACAACTGGGCGCTGCAGCCCCGCCCTCCAAAGCCAGGCCAAGACCTCAGACCAGTGAGGCACGGTTGTGCGCACATGACAAAGCCTGACACTGGCCAGTGCAAGTGACTCGAACTATGGCAGGGCTTTCCTAACGACTAGCCCAGAGACCCCACTCCTGGGATCATTCTCGCGTGATCAGAACACTGGATCTTTACAATATCCATTGTAACACTTTTTACATTGTACTACATTTTTCTGGTTCCTTTTTGCTTCCTCTCCTGCATCATGTGCTCCTTATGAAAAGAGATCTTATAGTTCATGTACATGTGTTAAGTTTAGTATGCAATAGGTGCCAAATAAATGAGTGAATGGGGGAGTCTGGGACTTTGCTGATCTTAATTCTTAAATTGAAGAGGTCAGATGTGAGGTCAAAAGTGCAAGGAAAACTCCTCTATGTGACCCATTCATCAAAATGTGGCTGTGGGAAAAGGTGGCAGAGCCTGCCTGTGACGTGGACTCTGAACACAGTCTGCCTGGGTTCAAGGCTTGGCCTTGTCACTCGCTGGTTTTGTGCCCTTGAACAAACCACCTCCTCGTGCCTCAGTCCCTTCATCTGTGCATGACAGGATGTGAAGAGAACCTACTTCATGGCGTAGTTGTGGGAATTCAATGAGTTATGTGTCAGGTGCTCTGAACAATGCCTTGCATACAGTAAAGCATCAGTAAGTGTTGACCATCATGTACTACGCTATGTGCTAAGAGCTCCATATAGAAAAGAAAAATTCTGTCCTGGACCTAAGGTGTCCAACCTTTTGGCATCTCTGGGGCACACTGGAAGAAAAAGAGCTGTCTTGGGC